TATATATATATATATATATATTGTTTGAGATAAAGGGAAAATAGTTTAGTGGAAAGTATATTTCTCTCATTTTAACATCCAAAAAATAATGTAATAATAGAATAATGAAATTTTAGGCATTAGTTGTAGTTCGTGGAGAGGTAAAATTACCAAATTTATTTTTCTTGTATTGAACATCAATGTTCAAAATTATTTAAGTAAAATTGTTAGTACAAATAAATAATTGGAAATTTATATTTCTTAATTAAAGATGTACTATTTTTGGCTGAAAGATGAAATCGTGATTAAAAATATCATCTTACCATTAAAATAGATTAAGTCGATGAAAACAATATACTTATTAGTTATTAAAAAAATAATAAAAAATTGTTGACATAAGTGGTTCAATACTAACTTGTACGTACTCTTTAACGAAAAATTAATATTCAATATTTGATTTGAATATAAGGTTGTGAATAAAAATATCATTTTATCTAAGAGTCATGTGGTAGAAATAAGTTATATTTGTTTATTAAAAAATAAAATAAAATATTTAAGTGAAGACTACATATATAGCCGAGAGTCGGGAGGCGTGAAAACTAGACAGGTTAAATTTCATTCTTCTTTTCCAAGAAAAAGGAAACCTCTTAGAAGAAGGAATCCTTCAAATACAAAATTAAAAATTGACTTTGAATATAGATTTAACAGTTGCCATTTCGCTGTTCAGTATAATTTAGAGGATAAAATTAATAAATCATTGATTAAAAAATAATAATTAAAATTCTAATAAAATGTATAAGCATCTCTATATGTAAATTTCTTACGGATAAAAAAATATGCAAATTAGTAAAAATTTGTATATTAATATTGCATAATTATTTAATTATTTTCATTATCAACATTAATTATAAAATATATATTTTTATATAAATAAAGTTAAAATTAGTATAAATTTTAAGATAATTATTATAAAATTCAAAAAATTTATCATATATGATATTTACCCTATCATACTCAAATTTTCTGTTTTCATTCATAAATACTGTTAATTATCTAGATTTTTTTTATTTATGAGAATGAGACTATAATGAATTGGATTCTCATCATGTGATGCGCTAATGTTTACTCACATGGTGGTTACAAAATTGTTCTTCTGATGTACACACGCTCTAAATCTTTAATTAATTTGTATTTTGTAAAATTATCAATTATATTAGCCTAGTTTAAACACGGAATGAGAATCATATGGTGCTTTTCCAAGAAATACTATATTGTCATCAGAGTTTTTAGAAGAAGAAAAAAAGAGAGAGGTATATTTAGATGTTTGCATCAACATCACGTGGTAGTTTCTCATGAATATGTTATTACCATTAGAGTCTTCAAAAAAAAAGGCGAGTTTTTAGTTACGAAATATTCATAAGATACATAGTCTATTTTATACTTAAAATCGTAATTTAAATATTAGATAATTTAATTAAAAAAATATAAATTACTACTTATGTCAATCAATATTAATCTTAGTAACACTTTTCATAAGATATATATAATACCGAAAATGCTAATGACAATAATATCATTGAGACAAAAATTTTCATTACAGTTTTACAAGAAATATTAGTATATATATACTACACACTATTGGTCTATTTCATGCGAAGTATACGTGTCATAATTTTTTGAAATTCAATAAAAAAAATGACGTCATAGCTATTATAATCTATTTATTTATAAAACATATGAAAGAATTTAAAAAGTATGTCTTTTGTCATTATACCAACGTATTCTTTTTTGAGAGTTAAAGTTTTATTTTTGTCAAAATCTATAAAGATCTCTCTATCATTAAAGTACGAGTATGTTTTATAAGTTATTATTTTTTCTTTATTTTATTGATGTGAGACTTATTTCTATTTCAACACATATTTATGTTTAAAATTAATCATATATACACTATTAGTGTAAAGTTTTTTTACATTAACAATCAATCATATTTTTTAATAGTGTCATGTCATTTGCTTATTTAATGAACTAAAAATAAAATAAAATAATTTAAAAGATATGATTGGTTACCAGTGTAAAAAAATTTACACTCACAGTATATATAGATGATTAACCTTATGTTTTTTATAAAATATTTTGTTTATTTATTTATTTTGTTGATATTAGCATAGTTAGGTTCTACTAGGTCTCTTAATCATGTTTGTCTTGTCAATTAACCTTGTGTTGTTCTCTCATTAATTTCAAGCAAGCATCACCGGTCCAATTCCAATCATGGGTTATATGATTGCAGATTGAATATGCTAAAGTTGGGTTTACGGTTGCATCCAACTCAGGTATATTTTAGAGAAGTAACCAACTATTGTTTTGTTTGGAACAAGTTAATGTACAACATTCTTCAGGTGTATTCCCGCCAAAAATAGTAAAAAGGTTCTAAACCTCGTAGACGAGAATTAATGAGATAATAACCAAACCATATTAGTTATTGTCACACACCATCATCTCCCAACTATGGATTCAAAGGTGGTGGAAGAAGAAGAGTTGACCATCATCGCCATTGATGGCGACAAGAACAGCCAACATGCTGTCAAATGGGCTGTGGAACATCTCTTGAAGAAAAACTCCTCTTGCACCCTCATTCACGTCACAACCAACAACTTGTTTCCCAGTAGCTACCCTTTTTCTCTTCACCTCCATTATTATATTGTGCAGAACAATCATATTCATATAATATAGTATTATTTTTTTATGATTATCTCTTTATCACGTCATTTAATATATTTTAAACTTTTTTTAAAAATTGCATAAAATGTTGTACAAGTATTGTATCCTATTATATATGCCCTCCTCGAATTCATCAGGATGTATGACTCACTTTTTTATTTTTTTTTATTTGGTTTATACAGATAATTTTGAGGCTCTCCCTAAACAAAGTCGTCCACCAACTGAAGACGAATTGCAACAATTTTTTCTTCCCTTTCGAGGATTTTGTGCTCGAAAAGGGGTATGGTCATGTTCGTGCTTATAATTGTTTTACCTATAAATAAAGCACATTTTGAAGTCACCTATGTGCTAAAATTAATTTAGTTTCTCTACTGAAGTTCTCATGTTTAAACTCTCCAATGCTTACTTTTAATTAAATTAAATGGATGTAAATATCATATGTACAAGTTTATGATTATAGACGTGGGATATTTCAGATCGTAGCTAAGGAGTTAGTCCTGCATGGTGTTGATGTTGCAAAAGTGCTTACTGAGTACATCATTCACAACTCTATCAACAATATTGTTGTTGGCGCGTCTCGTTGGAATGCTTTTATAAGGTTCTTCTCTTTCTCTCTCACATACTACCACATGCAATTTGGAGCACATATATATTCTTCTCAACAGTGCTAAAGTGATCGAAAATTTAACTAGAAATCATAAGGGGCTACACAAAAGATTTAGCAATAAAAAGTTGAATTCTCTTTAGTAAACGTCTAGAATATATATCCCGGACACTGTATGCTCTGTATACAAAATGTTATTACCATATTTTGGAAATTTATATAAATTGAAGCCATTTATCATTAACAATTACAAGGTATTTTCCCTTGCCATAGTTAACAAAAAAAATAGCTTATATGACATTGATTCATCTGGAAATGGCAAGAAACAACTCAACACATTTTTAGTGCTTCTGAAAAATTGGTTTATTATATATTTTTATAAGCTTTGAGGAAAGGAGTTTTTATGTCTCTTTCATGAAATCGTCTTGCTAATGCCGAGTACAGGAAATTTAAAGATGTAGATGTGCCAACAAGCTTAATCAAGTACGTGCCAGAGACTTGCGCGATTCATGTTATATCAAAAAGAAAAGTGCAGAATATTCGACCAGCATGTCAATCTAAAAATATTAGTATCGCACCATCAAAATCTTTGAAAGACATAAAGGGAAGATATGAGCCCGAAGTTTTAAACAGGTGTGTGCACAAGTTTTACACTGATAACTTGATGTTGATGAACCACATAATTGTTATTATGGACTTGTGCATGATAGTTATGAATCTTCCTAAATATGTGGTATACATGTTCACATTAATGAATTTACATGTAAAAGTATGATTAACAACTCTTTGTGTCTTCAGTTCTTCACATTTTAAAAATAAGTTTACAGATTTTTTTACTGAAAATTAATTAATTATTGACAGTTAAACTCTTAGACAAACTATTCTTAACAAGTCAATTGATTAATGTTATCAGAGACATAGGAGAGAATAGGGATGGGGGAGAGAATAATAGGTTTTCCATTTCTATAAATTTCTTGCTTAGCTGCGCAGGTTTTGGTGCTTACTAGATGTTCTTGTATTTTTTACACTTTTATTTATACAGAAAATCAAAATCATTAAAGTATGGATTTTGGCAAGGCTCAAGCAATGATGGGGTATTTTTTGGTCAAAACAAGGATCCTACACAGGTGACACCACATATAACCAATGGAGAGACTACTTCTCCAAAACTATCAGATGAAAGCTACTCCTCACAAAATTCATCCGATCGAAGTTCCCTAACCGGTGACACTCCAAGGCTACATGGTGATCAATTGACCGAGACATTACATGAAAACCAAGATGTAGTCCAAAACTCGGACAATTTAATTTGTAGGAGCAATTCTTCTAAAAAGTCCACAGTAAGTAATACTGCATTACATAATTTTATATCACATGACCACTCTTTTTTCATAATTTTACTTCTTGCAACACTATAATTTTGCATATGCATTTCAGAATCAAAACATAGACAAGGAATTTGGCTATTTGGATTTGCCTTAGTTTCAATTTTAAATGTTGCAAAGGCTTTGAGATTTTCTTACATATTTCCTTTCACAAGTGGATGATTAAGCTTGGTTATCTTACAGAAAAGCTTGGAGATGGAAATAAAGAAACTAAAACTAGAACAGAAGGGAGAGATAAAGAAGTGTAGTTCAACCTGCAAGGTAGCTGCAACAACAAAACAGAAGGTAATGTAGTGTTATAAATTCTACCTCAATGGCTTTCAGCATAGTACACCGAAGATGATAAATTAAAAGACTGGTTTTTATCATTTAGGCAATAAAGCTGGAAAATTTTAGGCAAGAAGAATGGGACATAGAAAAGGCTAGGCTTGCTGAAGAGACTTTGGAGTCAACTGAAATGTCAAAACGCATGGCAGAAATCAAGAGCCAGAAAGGAAAGCAAACCGAAACAAGAGCCATACACGAGGAAGAAGAAAGGAACATAACATTAAATGCAAGTGCACCCGACAAACCTCTATTTAAAAGATACAATATTAAAGAAATTGAAGTTGCAACTAATTACTTTGACAATGACCTCCAAATTGGTGAAGGGGGATATGGACCTGTTTTTAAAGGAGTGCTTGATGACATTGATGTTGCTATTAAGGCCCTCAGACCAGACATAACTCAAGGGGAGAAGCAATTTCATCAAGAGGTAAACACATTTTTCTTTTGCATGAAAACATGGAGCATCATAAATGCATGAATATTATAGTTTAACAAAATTTTCAATTGACATTTCTTTATTTGACAACATGTCAGGTTACTGTTTTGAGCACAATAAGACATCCGAATATGGTTAAACTTCTAGGTGCTTGTCCAGAATTCGGATGCCTTGTATATGAATATGTGGAAAATGGAAGCTTAGAAGACCGACTCTTCCAGAAAGATAACACTCCAACAATTCCATGGAAAGTTCGATTCAAAATAGCATCAGAAATTGCCACTGGCCTTCTTTTCCTTCACCAAACAAAGCCTGAGCCGATTGTGCACCGTGATCTGAAGCCAGCAAACATTTTGTTGGACCGAAACTATGGAAGCAAGATCACTGATGTGGGTTTGGCGAGGCTAGTTCCTCCAAGTGTAGCCAACAAAACCACTGAATACTACAAGACAACTGCAGCTGGTACATTTTGCTACATTGACCCAGAATATCAACAAACAGGACTATTGGGTGTAAAATCAGACATATATTCATTAGGTGTAATGTTGCTACAAATTATCACTGGAAAGCCTCCTATGGGTGTGGCTCACCTGGTTCAGGATGCCATAAACAAAGGTGAATTCAAAGAGGTGCTTGATCCAAATGTGACTGATTGGCCCCTTGAAGAGACTTTATCATATGCTAGGTTGGCTTTGAAGTGTTGTGAGATGAAAAAACGAGATAGACCAAACCTTGCTTCTGTCATTTTGCCAGAGTTGATTCGACTCCGAAATCTAGGAGAAGTAGCCATTGACATTGATATTGTATCCGCCAAACAGGTTAGTAACTTAGTAAATTTAATTATGATATAACTTTCATTCACTATCATAAGTGTCATTAGTGGTGTTTTTCCGATCAGAATCAGTTCATTTTGGTAATATACGTAATAAATTAATTATATGTCAACACGAATTATCAAGATAAAATTTTAGTTCTAGTTAAAAAATAATATCAAAATTAATTCTTCTAGTATCTAAGTTTTATCCATTTAATTAATGCATTATGCCAAAAAACTTTCCATGAAGTTCCTCTCAAATTGTAATTTTCTATCATGTATAATCAGGAAGGAAATGAATAACAATCTTAATATGGATATGGAAAATTCAAAGTAGATCCATATAAGAAGGTATCAACTGGCCAAGTCTGCACACAACATGTGGAACATCGTACGTGTTTTCTGGAAACATGACCTCTCACCATCAATTGGGAAACATGTTGGAAAGGTGAATGTGAAGGATGTTTATCAAGGCTGCTGGTCATTTGTATGTGGCTCAAGTTTATTGTCTCTGCAAAGTTTAATTGCCATTTAAAAGAAACGTTTTTCTCATAAGGCATGAGTTTCTCTAATTAATTAATGTCTTGTTTCTTATACTAATGATCTAAAGAGGACCCATTTTCATGTTGTTAATCTTTTTTTAATTATATGGGGATTCTAATTAATCAAAGAAAGAGACAAAAAGAACCATTCTGTTATCACCTATAAACACTCTTATCTTTGTTCACTTTGTTCACTTTGTTCATATACTTCAATATATAGTGTTATCAGTTTATCAAACTGTCATTATATGTTTCTATAAATATGAATTAATATTAATTTATTATCGATTTCGTTGATAACTAATTTTTTTTAAATATGATTATACATTTTTAATAAAATTTTTCCTCTCAATCACTTTTGTATCGGTAGTATTTATAGTAGTAAGAAATCTATTTGTATTATTTTTTAAATATTTTAATATATTAGTTAGTTCACTGACTTATTTGATTTAAAATAAATAAATAAAATGAGCCACTAGACATGCTTTTTCAAGGAACTATTTAAAAAAAAAAAAGTGCTAACTTTAAAATTTTTAATTCGAATAGCTGTGTTCAAAAAAAATTAACAGACAAGTTAATTAAGTTATAATATTTAGTAAAACTAACTATCATTGATTAGTGTAAAATTGTGGGAAGAATCATGGATTTATTTAATTATTTAGTCTTTATACACGTGTGTTAAAAAAAATTAGAGTTTATACCTAAAAATTCCATGTTTAATTTTAATATCTATACGAGTAGTATTTTACGCTTTAATATGTAAAATTGTTATTACTTAGATAGGCATTAAAATGTAAAATTGTTAAATACATGGAGTAAAAAGAAAAATTAATTCATGTAGAATGACCAATGGTTAATTAAAAAAGTATTGATAAGGCAAACAAGCTCACACTAGTAAAAAGAATGCTTTTAATGTAATATGCATGAAATTAATATAACAATGAAATTTACATCAAATTTACCACATAATTAAAATTAGGATATTATCATTTCTTGTTTAAAAAGACATTATCATTTCTCATGAAAAATTAATTAATTAAAAATATTAAATTTTAATGTTAAATGAAAAAAATGACACGCCTTATTTAGGGATTTCCTTTTTGTCATTGTGATATAAATTTTTGGGTTAAATATGTTTTTTATCTTCTAAAATTTGACTTTATTTGATTTTAATTCGTAAAAAAAAATCTTAATTTAATCCTTTAAATTTATATAATATCTATTTTTATTTTTTATAGACATTGTTAATTTTTATTATTGAAATAAGTCACCTCAACACACAAATCATTATTTATTGACATAACTTTTTTAATTTAAAATATTAATTATTTTATGATTAAGTTAAGATTTATCATAAAATCTAATTTTACAATTAAAACTTTTCATTATTCATTCTCGGACCAAAACATGAAAGTTCTAGAAGTGCTCAATTTTATTTATTATTTTTTTTATTCTGCTTTCATCCTCACTTGAGAAAGTCAAGTACCACTTGTTTCTAAAAGGTATTACTTTAAAGTTCATAGAGGGAGAAAAATGAACATTGTTTAGAGTATTAGCACATTGAGATTCAAGTGAAACAATATCATTGAAAATTAGGAATTTGAAATTTGGAGGATTGTCGATGAAAGCATGAAAATGAACGTTTATGGACACAATGGAAAAAAAAATCTTATTTTGAGTTCATGAGAAAATTTTATTACAATTTGATTGGAGACTCTTTGTTCAAGTAAAAAAGAAATTATCGAAACCTCCATACTTACATTTGAGTAGATAGTAAAAATATTTAAATGCAAAATTAGTTTTTATCATAAAACTTAACTTAATCCTAAAATAATTAAAATTTTAAATTAAAAAAAAATCATGTCAATAAAACTTATGGTAATTTAGATGTTGAAATTGTCTATTTTAACAACACAAGTTAACATTATTTAAAAATTGATTAAAATAGATATTATATAAATTTAGAGATTTTTTTTGAGCGACTAAAACCAAATAAAACTAGTTTTTGGAAGACCAAAAATATATATTTTTTTTATAAAGTATGAAATGAAAACTTAGATTATAAAAAAAGGATATTGTGGATTTTCAACCCATAAACTTACATAATTTTTTTTTATTTAATACGAAAAAGTTAGATTTTCAATCTCATAAAAATATTTTTGTGGGATAAAAATGATTATTAAAAAGTATATATCTGAAGAATTTTTTTAAATAACTACTAAACATACAAAATCAAGATTTTCAATTTAAAATTCGTAAAAATATCATGCATATCAAATAAAGATGTAAGTAGGTACGAATAACCTGTAAACTCAAACTATTACAAACTAACTCAATAAGTTTAAATCAAATTTTTTTAGTATTTAGGTACAACCTAATCCAATCTTATCAAAATTTGGTATTGTATGGGATGGATAATAAATTTTGTATTTTTAACCTATCATCTAACCCGACCTGATTATAGATAATAATAATAATAAGTTAGTGTGATAACATTATAACAATAAAATATATTTATTTTTAATTTTATTCTATTTTAATGTTAGTTGTTTAAGTCAATAATAATGTAGTAAATTAAAAAAATTATTTTAAAATCTAATTTGTATTATTGTTTTATCAATGGACAATATTGTATTTATAATAAAATATCAAATATTTTATATTAATTGTGAAATATTTAAACTTTTATAAAAAATAAATAAATTCAATTATATTAATTTGATTGACTCAATTCTCTCTGATTTATTCATGATCAAATTGAATTGATTGAATTTAAAAAAAAAAAGAATACATAAACTCAATTCAAATCCAACCCGTTATATTTTCATCATATCAAATAACAGATTTATCCATATAAGATCCAACTCAACAAACATATACTCGATCGAATTTTCTTAATTTTTGAGTTCGACCTAATCCAATTTTATTAAAATTTGATATTGTATGAAATGAGTAATGAATTTTGTATTTTTAACCTATGATCCAACAACCCTAACCTGTGATCCATCTCAACCCAATTATATATATATATATATATAATAAATTAGTGTGATAATATTTATTTTTATTTAATTTATATTATTATTTTATTCATTGACAATATTATATTTAAATTTTTATAATAAAAAAATAAATAATTTTAATTATATTAATCTAATTGACGTAATTCAATCTAAGTTGTTTATGATAAAATTAAATTGATTGAATTTAAAAATAAATAAATAAATATAATCCAAATCAATCCATTATATTTTTATTAGATCAAATAACATGTTGATCCAAACAACTCCTTAATTTAAATATCAAGTTTCTTATTCTTTGTATTTTTCATGGGACAAAAGAAAAGAGCAAGAAGTTTCTCGTTTCCGGTTGGACCGAAAATAAAAAATATAGCCGAATCAGACCGGGTCCCTAACGTGCCGCCATAGTCCAAACGAGAACATAACTCTCCTCCACACAGCACACAGCACACAGCACACAGCACACAGCGTGGTGTTCAAAATTCTGTGAAACCCTAACCCTAACTGAAGCGTCTGGAAGCCTCTGCAATGGCGTACCAGACCCCCGATCAAGATTCAGGATCCGACCCCAAGACCCCCACGCGCCTCTACAACCCTTACAAAGACCTCGAAGTCCCCATTCGCAACCTCTACCACCTCCCAACCTCCCCCGAATACCTCTTCGTCGAGGAGGCTCGCCGCAAGCGCCGATCCTGGGGCGAGCCCCCCCCTTCTCCCCCGGCTGCGGCTCCCTCGCCGGCGCCGTTGCCGGAGCCGCCTCCGGCCTTGTTGACGGCGTCAAATCCTTCGAGTCCGGCGACACCACCAAGCTACGCATCAACCGCGTCCTCAACTCCTCCGGCCACGCTGGCCGCGCCTGGGGAAACCGCCTCGGCGTCATCGGCCTTCTCTACGCCGGCATCGAGAGCGGGATCGTGGCGGCGCGGGACACCGACGACGTCTGGAACAGCGTCGCCGCCGGACTCGGCACCGGCGCGCTGTACCGCGCCGCGAGAGGGGTGCGATCGGCGGCGGTGGCGGGTGCCGTCGGCGGCGTCGTGGTTGGAGTTGCTGTTACGGCGAAACAGGCGCTGAAACGCTACGTACCGATATGAGGACGCACTTTGTGTGAGCTCTTAATATTTTTTTTATTTTGTGTTACTATCAATTTTGAGCGATTGTTGGGGTATAAGCATTGTTATACCAGTATGTGGCAGTGATGCTGTTGCAAACAATTGGTTTTTATTATTACGCATATTTTTTCAGCTTGATTATGGCTAACCTTTCTAATGTAATTTGTCGAATCATCTTGCATGAATAATTGGGACGGCTTTAATGCTGGATATACAGTATTTAGTATATGAAATTTTGTTCCTCTGTCACTGCATAGAACTGGAAGATTGTGTAAAAGAGGTCACAGAAGATGTTGTGGTACATGGTTTGATAGAAGTGGAGTGGTTAGTCAACTTTCCAGTTTTATATTTGTGTTCTTGGAAGTTAGAATTAATGAATTCAAGGAATTTGCGTTGTAGACTATACTATGTTCTCCGATATTAGACTAATGCACTGGTTATTCCGGTGGTATGCCAAGGGTCAGTGTAATAGTTTATTTATCATTAGGTGATTTATGGTGGAATATCATTGGAGATTTTTTGTTTTGCAAGTTTAGTTTGGGTATGCATTTGTTAATTGTTATGCGTGGGCTTTGCATCGTGCAGTCATGTTTCTGTGTCCTTATATCTTCGTACATATTGGGAAACTAGAGAGTTTTGTGTTCAATCTTTATTTAAATGATTTTATGGTAGCTAATAGTTTATTGTTAATGACTGGTGTGTCATTTGTTCGGGTATTTTATTATTTTGTTGAAAGAAGACATTTCTCTTTATGAGATGATAAAACATATGCTGTTGTGCTCTAGTTTGATTACATGTTACTTATAAGGCTGTTGATTGTTAGATCTTTAATGTGTGAATCAAATGAACTGTCTTCATCGTGGAACAGTTTTCCCAAGAAAAGAGTGTTTACATACAGAATTAGTGTTTTGGCAGTTGATGCGATGTTCTTCTTGAATT